GTTGTAAGTTCTTAGGAATGAGTGAAACTTTTCAAGTGTTTCACATAACTGTCGTAGTTTAGTTTTTCCATTGAACTGAGGTATTACGATCTCCGATTTTCAAAGTTGTGTTACTGTTAAGATTGTTCTTATGTTGTGGATTTTAATCTTGTTCCCCTAACCAACTTATACATTTGATCTCGATTAATGCATTCAGTAAGTAGATCCGCTAGGTGTTCCTTTGACTTCACATAGTCAACCGAAATAACCCCACTCAAGATAATATGTCTTATGGTATTAGGCCTTTGACGTAGATGTCAAGACTTACCATTGTACAAGTTACTTTGTATCCTTCTAATTGTCAACTGATTATTGTTGAGTTATATGAAGAACGTCGATGATTGTACTAGTTTAAATTCTCTACGAATTAATCCTATTCGCAACGGTTCTAAAGATTAGGACTGAACACTTACGGTTTAAAATTCACAGATTCTAAGACGATTACACGGTCTACGAGACCAGATGAACTGGTCTCTTTTTACTTCAAGATCTTCTATTGTATTTGTTTGTTGTGTTTTTGTGGTATTATTTTTGTGTTTTTTGTGCCTTAGTCAAGTCTTTTTAGATTTGTTTTAGTGTCGACTAGTCCATATTATCATATTTCATGTATTTTTGCTTTCATCATGTTTTTTTTCGTTCAGCGTATTTTCTTGTCTTTTTGGTGTTGTGTAGGTCTATCTTGCTAAGCTTGGGAAAACGAGCTATCCGAGCGGTTCGAGTCATCCCGGGCCATTTCCGAGTCCCGACTCGCGCACCAACTGCGCCCAACACTCGCCAGCAACTATCAGCCTGCGAGGTTGCGACCCCAGCACTCATGCTCCTGGACTTGCCCGCCAGCTGTCATCCGCGAAGTTGCAAGGCACCCAGGACAATCCGAGCACTCGCACGCGAGCCGCCGACTGATAGGTCATAAAGATTGATTTTCCTGCTCCAACTCACGACCGCGCGAGGCACCTGCAAGGCGCGCACAACTCGCCAGCGGACAACCGTCCTCGTGTGCGCGAGAAGGCGAGAGAGACCCACAAGACTCACCACCCACTGCCGGCCCGCGTGCTCGCGAGTTCCACCCCCAAGCACGCTGCCACTCGCCCGCGAGATGCAACTTATGGCATCGCGAGTGCTTTGCGAACACCGTCCACAAGGCGCACCACTCGCCAGCGAGCCCGAAGTTGCGACCCCGCGAGCGTCACATGTCCAGCCAGTGCCCCTCGTTGCGAGCATTCTTTTCGCGAGCGCGCTACCCGGTGCGAGAAGGCCTGAGAGCAACCTGCACTCACTAGCTAGCTCCACCTCGTGCCCGCTCGAGTCCACCAGGCGCCCAGCTCCCCAACAAGCTGCCTCCCGCGACGCTGCGGGTTCAAGCCCGTGAACAGCCCTATGCACATGCCACTCGCTGCGAAACCTATTTCGAGACCCTGCAAGTTTAACTTCATTAAATGTGTGTGCACCTAGTGTGTGTGTTTAGAGAGTAGTATAAATACATTTGCTCTCTTTTTGTGAGAGCACCTAATTTTCATTTCCCACTTTTCCCTTTTTGGAATTTCTCTCTCTTTATTCTATGCTTTATGTTTGGGAGCTCCAAGACTTGATATTTTCCGGCAACTTTTCTAGCGACTTTATTTTTATCTAATATTCAATCTTTTCCAGGGTAAGTACATTGATTATGGCTTATTACTTCGAGTTTATTTTCCTTCTTGCTTATGATGTTTATCAAGATGAAGTTGGGGTCTTGGTTGGAATCTTGTGTTGATGCTCGATTTTAGGACTTTGCTATATTGTTCTTGCGTGCTTAAGTATTAGGAGTTAAATTTTTTCGTATCTTGTTATAAAAGTCTCGAGTTTATTTAAAGCGTGTTCATTTAGTTAAGAAGGCTTGATTTATCTACTTAGGATCTTATTGATAGAATATTTCTCTTCGTTTATTTTCATTTTCATCAAGTCAAGGGGACTCTAGATAACCAAAGTTGAAGTCTTACTTTCAAAATTTGCATCTTTACTTCAATTGCTCTAAATTCTTAGATTTATTTAGTCTTAAATCAAACCCAACCATCATGCTTAGTATGTTTAGAATTTTATTTTCTCTTTCTGTGCTATTGGACAACTAATTAGTAGACAAAGCTCCGAAGAGTCTTCCTTTGAGAACGATCGGAGTTCGGATAACTCGGTTGTCAACCAATCCCGCTAAAAAACAACCAAACAAATGACGTTGCCGAGAAATGTAAGTAGGATGCCAAATTTTCTTATTTGTTGTCAGGAGCCGTTCATACGATGCAGAGATATCAACAAACTCATCCAGATAAATCGACGTTGTTTTGGCGGTCGACCGTCACATGTTCCTTGGGTCATAAATTAGGTTACATTTATATCATGAATTGAAAACATATTTGGGCCGGCTAAATTGATGTCTTTTCGGATGGCCAAGAATTTTCAAAAGTGTACAACAAATAAGAAAGAGAATTTATGGTGATAATGTACGACATAATCGTGTAGACTTGTAGTCTTCTTAACAAGACAAAGACGAGAAAAATAAATAGAACATAGTGATAAAAATTGCAGTAATAAATTAAGTAAATGGTTAAAAAATGACGGATATAAGAAGGGAAATTTTGTCAAAGGTTAAAATGATGTCTGAACAAATTTGTACTCGAGTATCAATAGTTTGAAGCAGCCCGGAGTCCACATTAGGGAGACAAAAAGCAGTTGTATAATTGTCTGTTCCAATATGTGTTTTTCTCTGTTTTTGACCAAAAGCAATGCCCTTTTTTATCTTAAAGTGTAAAAGAGGCATACAGAGCAAAAACGTTTCTTTGTGTGGGACGAGTTCTTGTTTTTCCTGTTGCCTGCCAAAAAGGGTTTTGTTTTTCTACTTCACTCATGTGACATGGACAAATAAATGTAGGATATTTTGTCCATTTCCAGACTAAACTTATTAACACAAACACAACCACGTTTTTTCTTTTTCACGCATTTAATTATAACCCAATGGCATACTATTTCGTGAGATGTCACATCACGATTAATCAAACATGTTAGATTTATTTTGCCACAAATTTTGACCCTATCATATATTCTATTGATTTTCAAAATATCTATCTCAGTGAGTGTTAGCTCTCCAATTCATATATATTTTATGGTAACTTTTTCAAATGCGAAATTCGTTTATTCGTTTTCATTAGGCCTCCTTTTTCCCTACCAAATCTATGTTAGATTAAAGATGACAAGTAATTGTTATCCAAATTTCGCTTCAGATTTGACTAATTGCACTCGTGAAAGTATTTTCTTAAGTAACATAAAGACAATTTTCCGGAACATATGTATATCCAATCGTAAAGGATCAAGTTTAGTTTATACAATTGAATGGAAATCGTGAATCAAAATCGTGCTCTGCATTTTAGTGGGCCTTGTGAACATCGCCTATTGGGCTACTACAAAAAAAAAATATAAATGTTATAGAAAGGGCCGTAATTGTCAGTGGGCCGAAATTAAGAGAGAGGTCAGAACACAGAGAACTGTATTACTCTCCACACCCAGCGGAACTCAATCAGCGATCCATCTCCGATCGGCAGGCGCAACCGGAAGCTGCCCGGAAGAACTTGTTTCACAGTCGAAGATTCAAAGCGGTAAGTTCCGGCTTCCTAATCGTCTTACCCCAATTGCCCCAAATGACTCTATATGATATTCATTTTGAAATGTCTTAGGTTAAAATCCTTGATAGGATAGAGATATAGAGAGATCCTTATTAGTCGCTTATCGGCAACACATTGGGTGTCCGCGCGCTCGGCATTGATTTCTTTGAAAGAAAAAACAAAACAAAAAAAAAAAGAAAGAAAGAAAGAAAGAAAACATCTTTAGCATATTGGGATGGCTAAACGTTAATTGCTTTGCTGATATTGTGAAATAAATACTTTCTGTGTATCTCATGGTTGGACCAATTTTCTGAATGTTGAGGTCCGGCTATTAGTCTACACTATCTCAGTTTTCTGTAGAGTGATTGAGTGTCTGACACACTTCAGCTTGAAAGACCCAGAATAGGGATTTTATGTAATCTAGTCCATTGGCTTATTAAATGTGAGCTTCTCTTTGTTTTCTGACAGTATTCTTTTCTACTAATTCATTGCATTGGAGAGTCCTAATGGTATGAAACTGAAATATGATAGTATTGGAGAGTTTCTTTGAATCCAATTATTTTTCAAGTACAGAGGCCATCATAGCTAGAGATTATTTTTTGAAAAAAAAAAGGATTTTTTCAAGAATACATGACTAGATGACATGAAGATAGTAATTCATTTGTTGACACCTGGTTTGATTCTGGATTATCATTTTAGGTTGATATGCATATAATTTTAGGCTTCCCAAGTTGTTGGCAATGAAAGTGCTTGTCTATATTTTGCTTTCTTAACTGCCTATCTGAACTTTTGGCCCACATCCGCAAAGAACAAACTTGAGTGCAATTTCCTAAATTTGAGATTTTAGTTCATGAAGTTATTTTGTGAAGTCAGAGAACTTATTTCCGCTTGTACAAGCTTGAAATTAATTTTAGTGTAACTTGGATATGTTAATCAGAATTTTGAAGATACAAAGACTGATCTTTCTGCCATCTTAATGTAAAATTGTATGCTGTCTCAAGGACAAATAGTCAATAGATTCTCTTATATTATAAATCCACATAACTACAAAATATTATGCAACCCATGGCTTGATGTAGTTGATTGGGTCTGGAACATACGAGAAACATCTAAAACAGTTTGTAAGGAAAACAAACCAGATACGAATTGGATTGACCTCAGATATTCAATTTAGAGTTACAATATGAATTGGACGAACCAAAAAAACAACTGGCATCTTAGTTATTGAAATTCCATTTTTGCATTTTTCTGGTGGTGCTCCTATTCAGTATTTACTCCTACTTTAACCTCCTTGATAATCCTATTCGCACTTCCTTAAACTATATTTTATGATGGCTATTTATAAGTGGAATCACATTTTTAAGAGAAAATATGAATTACCACCTACTCAAAGGTTATGGTGATTCTGTTTTTATGAGACATCGTATCTTATTTTGCAACAGTTCATCTATCTTGGTCCTCTCTTTTCTTAACGCAGTGTTGTCCATACTCTCTTTTACAGCTTTATTTGGATGGTATTTTCATGTCAGCATAGCAGATGAGTAGGAGATGCTGAGTGCTTACATGACTTCGGATTGTATTATTTTACCATTTGGTCTTGATGATATGTCCACAATGAGTCAAAGGAGATTCTAATTGGAGACAAATTGTTTGCAATGCCAAAAATAAGTTTCCGGTCTCTTTTTCTCTTTTCAGCAATTTTCCGTGTCGTGTTAATTTTGTATGGGGAGTGGCAAGATGCTCCTCTGGAGGCTAGGTACACATATGTGGACTATTTTGTGTTTTCTGATGCTGCAACCTTAATGGCCAATGGAAAATCGCCTTATGATTTATGAAAGATCAACATATCGGTATTCGCCACTTATTGCTTTTCTCCTCATACCTAATTCGTTTCTACATCATTCATGGGGAAAATTTCTTTTCTCAGCATCAGGTAAGTCATATTCATTAATGAACACTCTTCAATATCTTTCATAGTTAAATTGAAGTGGCTTGGATTTAAACTGACTTTTGATAGGATGGTCTGCTATGATCTTACTTATAGATATTCTCTCAGTAGATTTTGGATTATAAGTTTAACTGTTTTATTGCTTTTGATACCATTAAATCCCATTATTTAATTATGTTGTAGTATTGTAAATTTGTAATATTGTAATTTGCTGAAATCATGTTGCCAAATTCCACTTGACATCAATTTATTGGATAAACCCTTTCTTTTCAGGCGTAATGAGCAAAGAAACATCAAAATGAATGCACAAGAGAAGGAAAAAATAATTTTAAAAGAGGAAAAGGAAATAAAGATAGCTTCGGGGAAGAAACAAAAGACCTCATTACTGAGATTAACTTAGCTCGTCCATTGGAATATATTGTAGGAAATATCGTCAACCTCAAGGATAGTGACGTACTGATGTCGTGTGTTTAGGCTTAAGTTTTGAATCTTTTAGATATGCACTACACAGTGGTAAATTGGTAGTGCATTTTCAATGATAATCAGATCCTGATGTATCATACACACGACAGATCTATCGGTGGGGTTTTTTATCCACAGAATTTTGAAGTTACGAGGAGTTCCCGAAAAAATATGCACTTACACCACAATGATATGGCTTTTCAACCCATTTACCTTCACAATTGGAACACGTGGCAACTGTGAGCCCATCATTTGCTCCATGGTTCTTTGGATCTTAATCTGTTTGATGAATGGTACGCTTTTTTCTATACCTATACCCCATAGCTTTAATCTTCATAATATTGGTTTTATTACAACTGCTGCCTTCTTCGTGTATAATCTCTTTTTCTGATGCTGCTTGCAACATATAATCTACTCATAAGTGAGAAATCTGTAGCATCCTTATTATCATTAAGGGAGTGGATTAATTTTTTGTGGACATTATAATATTAGGAAAATAAATATTCTGCAGCTTACGTTCATATGTGAAGGAAAATTATTCTGCTTTCAGCTACATCAACCATGATAAACCCAATTATTTTCTTTCATTTACTTTAAAACCCAGATGTGAGATGTCAATTTATCTTGTCTCATTTTTGGACCACAGATCGTCTCTCACAGGCTGCATTCTGGTATGGGCTTGTTGTCCACCTGAGGATATATCCAATAATATATGCACTTCCCATCATCTTCGTTCTTGATCCCCTGCATTTTCGACCAGGTAAAAAGCCCATCCTCGTGGACTGGAATTCTAGATCATCCAACTCAAAAATAACCTATTCCCACTATATTCGGAACCTTCTCACAAGCATATTCACTTGGAAAAGGGTCGTTTTTGGGATTATATCTGCTTCCACTTTCTTCATCTTGACCGGATTCTCTTTCTATTTATATGGATGGGATTTCTTGTATGAGGCCCTACTGTACCATCTCACGCGTACGGACCCACGCCACAATTTCTCCATATACTTCTACCACATATACATAAACTACGAACGCGAGTTCTCGATTTTGGAAAAGCTGATTGCCTTTCTGCCTCAGTTTACTGTCCAGCTGGTTCTGATTTTCTGCTTTGCGCTCGACTTGCCGTTCTCTTTCTTTCTGCAGACACTGGCCTTTGTAGCATTTAACAAGGTGTGTGCCAGACTATACAATCTTACCATATTGCCATTGTTGTTTTTATCATTACTATTGTTATTTGTTTATTTATTATATGTTTGTTTTGTGTTCAGGTGATAACAGCACAATACTTGGTCTGGTTTTTTTGTCTGCTGCCTCTAATACTGCCATGGACTACTATGAAGCTTAAATGGAGAGGCCTGGCATGCATATCTGTGTGGATTGGAGCTCAAACCCATTGGCTAATGTGGGGTTACTTGCTGGAATTCCGGGGCAAGAATGTCTTTTTGCAGCTATGGCTGGCAAGTTTGTTATTCTTGGTTGCTAATACTTTTGTTATCATCAGTGTTATTCGTGGTCATGTGTACTGCCCTCTCTTCAAACGGTTGCACGAAGCAGATCCAATTGAAACTGCGAAACACTTCTATTATAGTTTGTTCGGAATTATTTTGTGCATCTTTCTGAAGTTTGGAGCTGCAATTTTTTTAGGATGATTCTGGAAATTCGATGGGTTATTGAAAGGTATTTTTTTGTTTGTCCATTGCCCTTCATTAAATTGAAGGAAAAAAAGAACTCATGCGAGTTCTTTTCAGTGCTATAAGTATATTTCATGCATACAGTCTGTTAATATGTTCTGTAAAATGTGGACCAATGGCCGAGCAAATTAAAATGATTTACTGCCACTTTTCAAATGATTTGTTGCATTTGTGATGTAATTTAAATAATAATTCAGAATAGAAAAGGGTGAAAGTACTATTGTGCTCATGAGCATGGTACTAAAAGTACGGATGTGTAAGGCCAATCTATATAATGATTCATATTTATATGTAAAATAATTATAATTTATAATTATAATATCAATTTTTACTAATGAATATATTTATAAAATGTGATATATTTATTATATAACTTAGAATTTTTCATATAACAACGGTACATATATCTTATATAATAGTAATACTTTAAGAGCACTAGTTGAACTAAAGTCCAAAACTATTCCCTCTCACCATCGCTCGTCACATTAAACCTAATTCTCCAATATTGACCATTGTTGACTCCAGGTGTCGGTGGCCCAAAGCCTGGTGTACCCAGTGAAGCAAAGGGCCCCACTTCACTATTTCCCACTCAATAATAATAAATTGCAGCTCATGCCCAAGCTCAATAATGACTAAATATCACATATAGCTGCACACTTCCTGTGAAAGTTGACAAGAAGTAAAAGCAACACGTCTATTTGAGCGCCACGTACACCTTCACTGATCGGCGACAGATCAAATCCACGCCGTTGGCTGGCAAAGGTCCCTTTTGAAAGGACACCCCACTAATTAAATTGTCCTTAATTTTTCCCCTTTCTTCTATTCTTGCATTTTATTTCCATTTATTCGGCATTAGTGGAGCTGTTTCTTGTGATTTATATATTGTGATTATCGTTTTTTTTCCTTTTCTTCATCAGGGCTATCGTTTTCACTGCATTATTGGTCAATTGTTATGTCATCATAAGTAATGTGCTGTATAAGTTATCGAGATTTATATTTAGTTTTTAATGTTTTTTATTTTTTAATTTTTTCATGTTGCACTATTTAGGTAACACAAAATTATTGGGAGAGGTTAAATATGATTGCAAGATTTAATTTTGAGTACCAAAAAAATTCTGTTCTTTAAGTAAAAATGTATGATGAAATGTCATTATTTTCAATATAAATAATTATTTATCTTCACTTTAAAAAGCATGATATATTCTATGTGAAAAGTTAATATCTTGAAAAGTTTCAACACATCACATATGTTCATTAAATTTTCAAGTGAAGCAGCACTAAGATAAACGAAATATGGGTTTGAATAATATTTTCGTTTCTTTTACATGCAACTCTTTTATGAATATTGGTATGTATTTTTGTGGTATAATGTACAGTTTCACTTTGCGATATAAGTTCACATACAGAGATAGGTGGGCATGTGAGATGCTTTTTTTATAGCGGCTGATAATGAAAATGGCCCCTCATATTTATATTCTCTCTCCCTCTACTACTGAAAATTACTTTACTGGTGTGCTCCAAGGTTATGACTTTGACAAAATTCATTAATTATGCTCTGCAGACATAAATAAAAATATCAAGAAGCATATCATTATTGCTTTTAGTATTATGAGGCAGGGCTTTCAAAATTCTCACAGCCATTGCTACAGAGGAGCCATGGCTGGTGCCCTGATTTTGCTACTGCCATTGCTATTTCCTAGTCTTTTCACTCCTTTGAGCCATGCTTTACCCTCTGTTCTCTCGGTATGTTTCAATTCCTTTTTTCTTTTTTCTTTTCTTTTTTCTTTTTTTTTTCCAAGGTTTTGTTGATCGGTGTGTTTTATGTGCATTTGTTGTGTGTTTCCTTCTTATGGGCAATTTTTTTTAAATGTATAATTAATTATCTGTATTTTTTGTTTTTTTGGCCTTTTCTAGCTTTTCCCGATGGAAAATGTTTAGACTTTCTATAAGGATCAAAAATCAGAAAAATCAAGAAACTGAACTGAAATCTTTTGTTTACTTGGTGCAGTAAAGATTTGACCTTGAAGGAGATTTTTGGCAGTGTGCATTGATATTGCTTCCACTTATTGGGGTTTTGTTGGCTGTGTTAATTTCATTGACTGGTTTGCCAATCTAAAACTGGAAAAACAACATTTATCAATATCTTTTGTGAATGTTGGTGAAAATGGGGGAAGAAAAATGTACAGGCTGAATAGTTGAATTCTAGCTGGTCCTACTGTAAATTATGTAATTTAATTTGTATGCAAGTTGTTTGGGTTTTTTCGGAGTGTGTTCTATATAAATTTTTTTTTATTCAGAAAATCCGAATATAGAAAAAGATTTAGAAGTGTTTTCAAGGGACTGTAAATTGGTGTATAACGGAGGAGTACCATTTGAACCTTCAAAATTGTTTCAGTTAATGCATGCATATGGTTTGTTTGACTAAACAGATTATTTCATGTTCTGTAGAGTTTCCAATAGTTTGACTTGTTATCTGTTCTGATAAGCTGGTTATTATTTGCTGTAGGAATGGAACACTCCAAAACCTAGACACTCTCGTCTACTTAAGAGTGCCCTCCAACGCCAAACTGTGAGTAAGAGTTCAATCAATTTGCAGATTACTTGATGGCATCAATTTTGTTAGAGCATTATGGGATTGATGCAATTTCTGCCTTGTTTTTGCCCTTTTAAGTCTGATGAGCTACAGGCTGATCTATGGAGGCCTTTGGCCGACCAAGGATGGAAACCTTGCCTCAGATCAGTTAGTACTTCGAGTAAGTGAAAATTTTTACTGTAAATAAAATGAATTTGTCAACATTTGTTGGACGATCATAAGAGAATTGGGTTATATGCAAATTAAGTTTGTATTCTACCAAAAGCATAATTGTTTGTGCTTATATGTATAAACTTATGTTTCATGCAGAATTGCCAGAAAAATCTGAAGGTTATATTCAGGTGTTCCTCGACGGAGGTCTAAATCAGCAGAGAATGGGTGTAAGTAATTCAAGTTATTAAATTATGTCTTTTCTCAAGTGTACCTTCTATTTGATTGGTCGAGTGACTAATACGCGCAATTTTCGGTTTATAAAGATTTGTGATGCAGTTGTTCTTGCTAAAATTTTGAATGCGACCCTCATAATTCCGCATCTTGAAATGAATCCCGTCTGGCAAGACTCAAGGTCCTCATATTTTATTTGTTTCTATTTTTCTTTTTTCCTGGAGCCTTAAGTCAATCAATCGATTTCCATTTTCTTTTTCTTTTTTTCTTTTTTTCCCCTTTACATTGCAGCACGTTCATGGATATTTTTGATGTGGATCACTTCATTAACGTGTTGAAAGATGACGTGTCTATTATTAAAGAGGTGCCTGATGAATACTTTTGGAGCACAAGAGAATATTACGCGACAGCCATTAGAGCAAACAGAGTTAAAACAGCGCCAGTTCATGCTTCGGCAAACTGGTATCTGGACAATGTTCTGCCTATCCTCCAGAGGTTGGTCTTATCCATAACCTTTCCTTGTTTTTTCTATTTTATTTTATTGTATAGATTCGAAACTTAAAATTCAAATCGGAATTTGCTCACGTAGTGTGTGATGATTGGGCCTGAAGTGTATTTTCATGGATTTTCTAGTTATGGAATAGCTGCAATTGCACCCTTTTCACACCGCCTGGCATTTGACAATATGCCGGAGGAGATCCAACGGCTAAGATGTAAAGTCAACTTCCAAGCTTTGGTTTTTGTCCCTCACATCAGGAACCTTGGCGAAGCGCTAGTTAGCCGACTCAGATTCCCTCCGAGCAAAAGTCAAGTCAGTAGCACTGAAAAAATTGAGTATTCCAAAGACAATCTAGGGGCTGGAAAATTTGTCGTCATACACCTCCGTTTTGACAAGGTACTGATCAACACTAAGAACATTGTTTATTCCGAAAAAGAAAAAGTGATTGAAAAGGTGGGAATGGCAATAAAGATAATTTTTTGGTATTACTTTTGGCTCTTAATTTTTTTTTTTTTTTTTTNTTTTTCAGGATATGGCTGCCCACTCAGCCTGTGATTTTGGGGGAGGTAAAGCTGAAAAATTGGCTCTGGCAAAATACCGACAGGTTATTTGGCAAGGGAGGGTTTTGAATTCTCAATTCACGGACGAGGAGTTGAGGAGTCAAGGGAGGTGCCCTTTGACTCCAGAGGAAATTGGATTGCTGCTGGCAGCTTTAGGATTTGATAACACGACTCGATTGTATCTTGCTTCTCACAAGGTCTTTATAGCGAGTTTTCTCATGTCTCTTTTCTTTTATACTTCCAACTTCTGGTTGTTTTTTGAATTTTTGATGTTTTATGATACTGATGGATAATTTTTTTCAGGTGTATGGTGGGGAAGCTAGGATCTCGACTTTACGAAGTTTATTTCCACTAATGGAGGACAAAAAGAGCCTGGCATCCTCAGAAGAAAGAGCTGCAATTAAAGGGAAGGCTTCCTTATTAGCTGCAGTTGATTATTATGTCAGCATGCACAGTGATGTTTTCATTTCAGCATCCCCAGGAAATATGCACAATGCTGTGGTAAGCTCTTCTATGCATTTATTGATGAATTTAAGCAGTTCGTTATGCCATAAGAAATTGCTCAATATAATTATGGAAATTGCTCTAACGCCAGTTGGGCCACCGAACATATGAGAACAAGAAGACCATACGGCCTAACATGGCGCTATTGGGCCAGCTTTTCCTGAACAAGAACCTGACCTGGCCCGATTTCCAAGAGGCAATTATCGAGGGTCATAAAAACAGGCAAGGGCTGCTCAGACTACGCAAATCAGAGCAGTCTATATACACGTACCCAGCTCCCGATTGCATGTGTAATGCTTGAGGTCTCATTTTTAGTGGAGCTTCCATGTGTTTCTGCATTTGTCTACTATTTAAAAGAATAAAGTTTGTTCCTCTTCCACTTGTCCATGTCCACGACCACGACCACATATACGTTACATTTATGTTGCAAAATTTGGGAAGCATGACTTTGTTTTATTACCATATCATGAATAGCGTATAGGATAAATTCGTTACATTATGTACTCCTTATCATATGGTTTTTAGTAACATTTCATCGATTGTGTGAATCAATATATTCGTTCGTCTTGTGCCACATGACTAAGATTGCGGAGTTATTTGTTCAAATGGTTGTGTGCTTACTGGATTCTTCATAATTATGATGAAATGAGAAGATTAAGTTTTGTTTGTTTCTGTTTTCTTTTGATAAGAATTTTGTGTATCATTGTTTATCATCCAATTAAAGGAATCCCATACTTTGGATGCACATTACACACTGACAGAAATTCCATATAAACAGAAGCAAGCTACACTAGAAACCACAGTGACATAAAAGAAACCGTTCATCAATAATGTAATAATACCCCATTCAAAAAGAAAGCATCGAAAAAACCAGATGCACATATAGTATATCCATTGTATATACAGTGTCAACTACATCTCATCAACTCAATAGTATCACCAATCACAATTCACACTGAATTAATCCTGCTGTTCAACCTGGTCAATATTACCTGGAGCTGAACCAGTGCCCGAGTTCTTGACATCATTTTTGTCCTTCTCAGCCACAGGTGGCCTGTTACCACTCCTCGATTTTGCCAACTCCTTCACATCCTCTGGACTCGAACTTGGAGGGCCCACCATCTCCTCCTCAATTGGCAACGTCCTCTTTGAGCCCTCTAATGCAACGCCCAGAACTATATTCTCCTCAAGAGAGGGTTTAGTCTGTGTAATCGGCTGTTGTCTCGAATCCTGTTTCGAATGTGAAGAAGTACTTGAGGAGACCAAGTTAGTCTCCTGGCCCGTTTTCTGATTATCTGCGCTGGGGACGGGTTTTGGGCTGCTATTGGGCTTGGGATCTTCCTTTGGGCCGGATTTGGGCACTTGTCCAGACTCAGGACTAGCTTTATCATCTTTTGGCTTGGTGTCTTCCTCCCCGTTTGGGCGGGACGAACGGGTTTGACTTTTGGGCTTGTCTTCCCCATTGACTTTGTAGGATGGTTCGACCAGTAGCAGTGGGCTGTTGGAAGATGCAGTGCCACGGGTAAATATGGTGTCCGAAAAGGGTATGCTGTCCAAGTCTGAATCGGTGAATACTTTCTGGATTGTGCGAATGGGCGTGGCTAGACGAGCACGATGGTGCCTGATGACTCTCAGGAGGTCAAGAAGAATGGTTTCCTGTGTGAAATATGTGTGTAAATACAACAACAACAACATACCCAGTATATTCCCAACAGGTTGAGGTCTGGGGGGTCAGTTGTACGCAGACCTTACCCTTGTAATTATACAAGGAGGCTGTTTCCTTAGCGACCCAAGGTGCATTGCGCCGTTTGATATATTTTTTTTTTCTAGAAACTTCACTAATAGAACTTCACTAATAGAACACTAATAGAAGAAGCACTAGGATTTAATTGAGCCATTTTCAAACATCAAATTGTTTGATAGAGCTGCCTACGAGGTAAGAATTTTATTAGTCACAAAAATTATGAATAAATATTAACATTGCTAGATTACATACATCATAACTAGCACTCTAACAGCAGAAATTAATTTTAAGTGTTCTGTGGTAGGACCCCTTTTGATCATGTTATCGTGGAAATAATATGATAGCATGAGCGGAATTATGCTCGTAAAATGGGTCAGTTATGACTCATATATAGGCATCTTCATTGAAATGAACACTCACCTTAACACGCAAATATTCTTCGAAATGTGAGGTCTTCACGAAGCAGGACACCAATATCTGCATTGTTGTGGAATCAATGAGATCAGATTGTCATAGCCATAATCATGAAATCAGCTTCCAGGTCTTATGAGAATTTTTTTGCCAAAAATGTCATAACAGTTATTGGTAATGATGAGTGCATAAAATTAATCCTGCAGTCTGAATCTTATATGCCCAGCAGGGTTTTGTTATGCTAGTTGTCCCTTGAACATCAGATTTGGTCAGTTAATATACGATGAATGCAGATAAATCTACAATTTCTCAAGGAGATGGAATGAGTATGGTTAGAGTAGCAGGACTTGGTTCTGTTAAAAACATGATAAATCTACAATTTCTCAAGGAGATGGAATGAGTATGGTTAGAGTAGCAGGACTTGGTTCTGTTAAAAACATGAGGTTCAAGTTCTGCTAAAAACATGAGGTTCGTTCTCTTTCTACATCCGGTTATGGAGGAGTAACTGACATCTTTTCTTCCTGAAATTCTTTCAAGGAATTCTGTTTTCTCCAAAAACACATCATAAAGAGAAACAGAGATTTATTGAGGCAGAACCGTTGTATTCATCATAGAAGTGTCAATATGAGTAGATTCAGGAATTTTATTAACCATTAGAGCCTGGTTTTCAGGATTAATATTATCCAAAAATACTCTTCTGTGCAATTTCTGCTGTTCCACATGAGAACTCTTTGCAAGAACCTTCCGCATGTCAGCTACTATGGTCTGCATGAAGAAGGGACAATTTGTCAAAAATCACACTAAAGAAGTAATCTGTATCTTTTAAAAAGAACGTTTAAACCAAATCATGCTGTAAAATCATCCTCACACTAATTTTGCCAACATCTAAGTGACTGATGGCTATGTGGGTTTTAATACGCCAGTGAGATTTTTGAGTAAGATTTCTCACAACATTCATAGTTAACTTGTGGTTTGGAATGTGAACGGCTTCACGGTCTTCGCCTCTTACAACTGTTGGTGACCACCACCCTACTTCCTGTAAAGCAACAAATTACAAATACTTACAAAGACAAGCTAATGGTTAACATATGGAAGTACACGCACAACGTTTCAAGACTGAAATTATGAAAAATGGAGATAAATGGAGAGTGGGGGTAATATTAGGTGTTCGAGCTCAATGAAAATTGTAAACATCAGGGTAGGACTACAGGCCAGACATAAACATCGAGCCTAACAATTTGATTGGAGACTTGGAGTAGTAACCAGATATAATTCAGTTACTTCAGACAAGATACGTCTTATGGAAATATTTTGGTTACCTATTATTTTCAGCTACCATATATAGTTCAGGATGTTGAAGAGAGACCCAATACGAACCTCAACTGTCCCAGAGATTTCATAGCCTTCAATCTTGGTTTGAATCCACTCATTCACAACAAATGGTCGAGTCGCGTGAATGATTGCACTTGAAAGAAAATTCGTGAATATCTGAGTATGACAGAAAAGAAGTATTTTGAGTGGGTTCAGAAGCAGATTTCCAAGTGTACCAACTAAACACCGCTTCAAATTGGCAAGAAATTGAAAAATGGACGGACAAATATGTAATGCAAAGTTGAAAATTCATTTACACCTCACGTCCAGCTAGTGTGAGCAAGACTGTTCCAAGCCCTCCAGCGGTGAGCAATTTTTGGGTTGAGAAACCTAACAATTCCATAAACAATGATACAGCTGCAACCCAGACGGCCGTATATATAGCGTTCCCAGCAAACTGGAAACCCATCTGTAAAGAAGTAATAAAAGACATTTAGAAATAAATTTGTATAGAAGCAGCAAAGAATCTTCTTGTATTCATCTTATCTGATGATTGTCAATCTTTTTATATGATATTCTCAGCCTTTATGCAAACAATTTGTACTCTTTCCTGCTTAACTTTGTTTATACATTGATTATCAGATCTAGCTTAATAGTCTTGCCCGCACACACAAAGCAGCTTCACTGTCAACTAGTAATCCAAAAGCTCTCATCTATTATGGGACTTCTAGTTGAAAATGAACATTAAATTCATCTGGCTGGGATAGAATCCTCAACTTAGCAGATGCATAAATAATTCGCAGTTTCGTACGCGCTTAAAAGGTGATGACCTAATGAGGCCAAAGTCACCTACTTCATGTTTATATAGGGACAAAATAAAGATGCAGACAGAAAAGGCCGAAGCGAGTATATGGTAGTAGGTCTAAAAAGTTCAGTGACGGGATTGACAGACGACACAAGCAGATGACTTTCTTTATGGTGATTTAATCTTCTCAGGAAACGATTAAGGGTCGGACTACGAAAACTCAAACAAATCTCAATTTCTGATTGACCTTACAGGGCTTCAAGAAATTAACAAGGTACATTATTCTAAAGGAATCATTTGGAGGCACAAATTGACATTATTCCAGCTAATGGTAAAAAACACAAAATCCTGTTGCATGTGATAAAGAATTTGAACTTACATTTCTGTGATCGGTAGAGGCATTTGTCTCCATGAAGAATTTCTGTGCTTGTTGAATTAAACTGCATGAAATAGTCAAGGAGTAAGCTTTATCTAAATATGTCATGAACTTGAATGGAAAGGACGTGTGCAATAATAG